TAAGCACTGAATAAATAATGTCTAAAAATGAAGTTGATACTTGAGGTGGTGTGTGAATGACATTTTGAAAAATTTAAATTGTGTGTGGAAAGACATTTCTTGTAGTTAAGCAAATACTTCAATGAACTCATTTTGTTTGGTAATGGAATAGGATTTAATTTTATCAGAAATCCGTACAGTAATTTGGGCTGTGGATCACAGGGTGCAGAGTGGGGGTCACCCAGAGTCATAATCCAGTGAAATATCTGCGTCACCTCTTACAGTTTTCCTGTAATCTGAGCTCAAAGATAAGAATATATAGAGTATAGTACAGTAAATTGTGCAAAGTTTACTATCAATTTTCTAAAAATCCGTACAGTAATTTGGGCTGTGGATCACAGGGTGCAGAGTGGGGGTCACCCAGAGTCATAATCCAGTGAGATATCTGTGTCACCTCTTATAGTTTTCCTGTAATCTGAGCTCAAAGATGAGAATATATAGAGTACAGTAGAGTAAATTGTGCAAAGTTTACTATCAATTTTCTCAAAAACCGTACAGTAATTTTGGCTGTGGATCACAGGGTGAAGAGTGGCAACAGCCTAGAGTCATAATCCAGTGAAATATCTGTGTCACCTCTTATAGTTTTCCTGTAATCTGAGCTCAAAGATGAGAATATATAGAGTACAGTAGAGTAAATTGTGCAAAGTTTACTATCAATTTCTCAAAAACCGTACAGTAATTTTGGCTGTGGATCACAGGGTGAAGAGTGGCGACAGCCTAGAGTCAGAATCCAGTGAAATATCTGCGTCACCTCTTACAGTTTTCCTGTAATCGGAACTCAAAGATGTCAATATGTAGAGTACAGTAAAGCAAAATGGGAAGATTTTACTATCAATTTTCTCAAAAACTGTACAGTAATTTTGGCTGTGGATCACAGGGTGCAGAGTGGAGACAGCCTAGAGTCAGAATCCAGTGAAATATCTGCGTCACCTCTTACAGTTTTCCTGTAATCGGAACTCAAAGATGTCAATATGTAGAGTACAGTGAAGCAAAGTGGGAAGATTTTACTATCAATTTTCTCAAAATCCATACAGTAATTTTTGCTGTGGATCACAGGGTGCAGAGTGGAGACAGCCTAGATTCATAATCCAGTGAAATATCTGCGTCACCTCTTATGGTTTTCCTGTAATCTAATCTCAAAGATGAGAATATATAGAGTATAGTACAGTAAATTGTGCAAAGTTTACTATCAATTTTCTCAAAATCCGTACAGTAATTTTTGCTGTGGATCACAGGGTGCAGAGTGGGGGTCACCCAGAGTCATAATCCAGTGAAATATCTGCGTCACCTCTTACAGTTTTCCTGTAATCTGAGGTTAAAGACGAGGATATTAAAAGTACAGTAGAGTAAATTGTGCAAAGTTTACTATCAATTTTCTCAAAAACCGTACAGTAATTTTGGCTGTGGATCACAGGGTGAAGAGTGGGGGTCACCCAGAGTCATAATCCAGTGAAATATCTGCGTCAACTCTTACAGTTTTCCTGTAATCTGAGGTTAAAGATGTGAATATATAGAGTACAGTAGAGTAAATTGTGTTAAGTTTACTATCAATTTTCTCAAAATCTGTACAGTAATTTTGGCTGTGGATCACAGGGTGAAGAGTGGAGATGGCCTAGATTCATAATCCAGTGAAATATCTGCGTCACCTCTTATAGTTTTCCTGTAATCGGAGCTCAAAGATGTCAATATGTAGAGTACAGTAAAGCAAAATGGGAAGATTTTACCATGACTTTTCTCAAAAACTGTACAGTAATTTTTGCTGTGGATCACAGGGTGCAGAGTGGGGGTCACCCAGAGTCATAATCCAGTGAGATATCTGCGTCACCTCTTACAGTTTTCCTGTAATCTAAGCTCAAAGATGAGAATATATAGAGTACAGTAGAGTAAATTGTGCAAAGTTTACTATCAATTTTCTCAAAAACCGTACAGTAATTTTGGCTGTCTGTGGATCACAGGGTGCAGAGTGGGGGTCCCCCAGAGTCATAATCCAGTGAGATATCTGCGTCACCTCTTACAGTTTTCCTGTAATCTAAGCTCAAAGATGAGAATATATAGAGTACAGTAGAGTAAATTGTGCAAAGTTTACTATCAATTTTCTCAAAAACCGTACAGTAATTTTGGCTGTGGATCACAGGGTGCAGAGTGGAGACAGCCTAGATTCATAATCCAGTGAAATATCTGCGTCACCTCTTACAGTTTTCCTGTAATCGGAGATCAAAGATGTCAATATGTAGAGTACAGTAAAGCAAAATGGGAAGATTTTACTATCAATTTTCTCAAAAACTGTACAGTAATTTTGGCTGTGGATCACAGCATGCAGAGTGGGGGTCACCCAGAGTCAGAATCCAGTGAGATATCTGCGTCACCTCTTTCAGTTTTCCTGTAATCTGAGGTCAAAGATGAGGACATTAAAAGTATAGTTGAGTAAATTGGGTAAATTTTATTGTTAATTTTCTCTGAATCATACAGTAATTTGGGCTGTGGATCACAGGGGTGAAAGTGGAGATTAACCAAAACTGGGAGTGGATTGTGAAGTAAAATAGTGTCAGGACAGAAAACACTGCGTTTCTAAGCCAGTCGGCACCTATACCGTAATATGCGTAAGAGTAGTGCAACAACATTTTAGGTGCGGCTGGCGGGGCGGCTAGCTTGACTGCGACTTCGTAAGTGAGGGCTCACTTGACCGCAGTGTTCAGAAAACGGATCACATACACAAAAATGCTGCCCATAGAGCTAACAAATCAAAACAATCCACATTATGTTCTGTAAAAAAAAAATCACATTGGGAAACATATAACCCTACCGATTAAGACCCATGTCACTATGATAGACCTATATTTGGCCGATGATACTGATCCATCAGTGGCTCTGCTATGTGTCAACTGAGAGCTGGAAGATTAATTTGAGATGCAGCTCAGCAGTGTGTGCCATTTTTGTTTTTAATATAGACCAGCTGATTTTAGGCCTCTGAGTTTTATATGACTCAAGATTTAATTTATTGTAATGATGATGGTTGTCTAAATAAGCTAAAACATTCCTAAGAAGTGTAGCTCAATTGTGTTATATTATAATTGTACGAGTTAGCTAGCTCCGTGTTACTTTAATACTGTATCAGGCTAACCAACGGCAGTGACAATATCTTAGCCAAACTAATGACCTTAACACACATGAAAAATAAAAAAAACAATATCGTACAGGTATAGTTGTAAGACTTCTTACCTCAATGTGTTTTTTTTTAGATTAGATGCTGAAGTCTTGTAAGCTGATATCACTGTAGAGGTCAAAGTTTGCACTGCATCTGGACGCTGTCTCCTTTTCTCCCTCTCTACATGAAAAACCTATTCCTCCGGTACGGCCACAGGCACTCGTCCTCCGTCTTTTCTACATAGTTTTCTCGGTTGACGGCGTTGTCTTCTGTCTCCATTTAGGCTTCTTTGTCTCCAAATCTTCAGTCTATAAATTTGTTTAGCAGCGGAGGTTGCTTGCGTCTTAAATTGGCGCGGTCGCGATTGCCTGGTTTTTCCTCTCCACTGTTACATATTGCTTGCTCAGAGTTTGTCTGTTAGGGTTTTCTTTTTAATACTGTAAGGTTAAGACCTTAAAGTAATACGCTGCAAGCTTACCTTGCTGTGTATTACTTTAAGATCTTAACCTTACATTGTGAAGGCTTTGAGAAAAACACCATTTCATTTGGTGCTATACATATTGAAGTGAATTGAATTGAACTAACATGACTAATGACTAATGACTTCAAGTTTTCTTTCTGTTTGTTTCCATTGTCTGTAAGTTGAATAAATACATGTGTTACCTGTTATTTAGTTCAAACTGCGGGTACAAAATTCAGAGAATATGCTGTGTTGTCATGTGACCTGTTCTCTCATGTGTGCCTTTTTCTTGTTTTGTATGCATTTCTCTTATTTATATTTATTCCTGCTGTCTTACTAATAATATTTTATTCCTGCGGTTGGTGTGGAATTCACATTTTCATTAAATTATTTTAACCCTCTCTGGCATTGATTTTAGTTTTTCAGAGAAAAAATACTTCACCCTATGTGTGGTGCTGGAAACATTTTACCAACTTATAAACTCATAAGTCTAAAACAAACAAGTTCATGTCGTGATTGCTGAAATTTCCCATCACCTGAGGGTTATGCAACTCAGTTACCTTGGGTCAGATGTTCGTGCTACACGGAGCTGAAAGGTTTGAGTTAGAGAACTTTTCCAACTTCTGTGCCCGCTCCGCGTGGTGCCCTGCTGCGAGCCGCAGCTGTCCTGCATTACCTGCTGCTGTCACTCATCTCCACAGCTGACACCTGAGCCGCAGCTTTAAACCTGCTCTGCATTAAAAGAAGCCAAACACAGAGAGCAGACTGACAGGAAGTCCCAGAGTCTGCTCATACTAACTAAATAAAAGGCCCGGTAATTTAATGAAATCAGGCAGGGAGAGCATGTTTGTAGAAGAGGTCATCCTCACCGTTTCCAAAGTTTCAGATGAACTGAAGCTGATAAGAGTTAAACTAATGATATTGGTGACTTATTACTGACTTGATTTAGACTCACTATGAGTTTGTTTTGTGCTCATGTCTGAAATTTGATTTTGATGGGAAACACTCATCGAACAGCTCACGGCTGATGTTGATGTTCGGTCTTGAAACAAGATCATTTTAACAGCATGTTCTGGTCTCTGAGAGGCGTTCACTGCTTCAAATTAAACTGTGCAAAAAGCAGCTCAGTTTCAAACCTGGATCACATCAGGGACGATGCAGGATTCCCAAATGTTAGAGGGATGGAGTCACAACCACTGTCATAGGTAGAATCTGAGAAAATTACAGAGCAACTTTTGTTGTAAAAATGTAACTAAGACATAATGATTTGATTGTTCTTCAACTTCACTTTCATACAGAGATGTTAGTGCAGACAGATGCGAGGTGAGGCTGAAGGACACATGGTGTCAAACGAGCGGCAGTGTGGTCTCACTTTTCGGTTTTATTTTACAAAAAAAAAAAAAACACACACAGAAACCATCAGCTCTATGGTTGCTTCGAGCTCTGACATGCTGCAGAACAACACGAGTACAAAACACACTTTACAAAAGTTCACACTCTGAATTATGGAAGTAAAAACTAGCTGTTATATATATATATATATATATATATTTTTTTTTTTTTTTTTTTACAGCGCACAGAAAAAACAACATTGGTTTGATTAAAAATAAAAAAGGAACAATTTTAAAAAGTCTTCACACACATTTCTTCTTTTCCAGACATGAATTACACCAGAAAATCACCTTCAGATCCTCTCATGGCCACGCAGCAGAGGATTTAACACTTGACCTTTGACCCTCTCTAGAGAGCCTCTGCTTTTCTCCTTGTCGTCTTCCCTCTTGGCAGTGTTACTGCCTCCGGCTGATCATCTTGCTGGAGTGACTGTTGAGAACCTTATTGAAGAGATCGTCTGAAGAAACAGAGAATGAAGCAGAGCAGATTCAGATGAGAGTGGCGTGCAGCAGGAACTAAACATATCATGAAGACATTACAAACACTCACCGTTCCTGAAGCCCCTGGAGTCTGCCTGCAAGACACAAAGGAGGGCATTGCAGCCCAAACATGTGATTCAGTAATCAGAGGACAGGTATTACATCAATCTTTCTGATTTCAGGATTTTGGACATTTTGAGGTGCAAAAGTGATATTCAGATTATTTGTGAAAAGGTTTTTTGGCATAAAGAAAGGCCTTTCTCACCCTGGAAGCGGGAATGGCTCTGAGAGGAGCTGCAGGTCCGTCGCTCTGCTCTCTGTCCACCTTTGGAGCTGAAGACACAAAAACGGCAGGTCAGCTTTAAAGGACAGGTCTACATTTGAAAATTGCTTACTTCGCTTCAATTTTATGTATACAGCGCCAAATCACAACATCAGTGGCTGCATGGCGCTTTATATTGTAAGATAGACCCTACAATAATACAACTATCTTATCCATAGTTCGATGTTGTAAACACGGTACTCACGCAGAGGTCTGATGATGCTGTTGACCGCGTGGATAATTCCGTTTGTCGCCATCAGGTCAGCGTCGGCCACGGGGATTTTGTTGACGTAAACCGTGTAGTTACGCTGAGAGACAAAGAAAGGCGTCAGACTCGCTGATTATTCCTAAGAAGACAGCAATACTGTGCAACATCTATGGTCAACACAAATTAAATATGCCTTTAAATGTGAAATAAGATACAAAGTGCTGAATAAAATATTGAAAACAAATATAAAATAGACAAATTAGAGATGAATAATCAAAATATAACAACAACAACAACAACAACAACAATAATAATAATAATAATAATAATATCAATAATAATAAACTGTGTATTTAAACAAAAAAGATTTCGACATCTTTTAAATAACGTTTTTGAACCAACCAAGCCCAGCTCTAGCTTCTCCCCCTGCAGAGTTTGGAACCTGGTGTGAGAGGAGACGCCACCGCTCACCAGCATACTCTCCCCCAGGTGATACTTGAGCACACCTGACAGGTGCTGAGGGTCACCTGGACACAGAAACACAAACGGTTCTTACTGTGCGTCTGATCTCATTTCCTTCTTCATGCTAAGCTCTGGTATAAGCCACGACTTGCTTTGCCCCGTGTCAGTAGATGACTGGAATCAGAGCAGAGTCTCTGTATGTCTTTATTAGGGTGGAAGCTGCTGCTGTTTGTGCAGCAGATTAAACAAACAGTTTATGAACATTCAGCGTGTTCAGTCCAAACAAAGAGCAGAAAATTAGCCCCCCCTGAGAAATCTCTACAAACCACCTCTCAGTATAAACTGCTGTAAAGAAAATAGACGCTTTCCACACGTGTGTGGAAACTGTCCATGTGGATTAATTAAGAATGTGAATAAAGAGAAGCTGTGTGGTTGAACAAAACTCACGCATCAGCCTGTTGCGTTCATCCTGCGGCAATTCATTGAAGGCATCGTTGGTGGGAGCGAAGAAGGTGAACACCTTCTGCTGGTTCAGAAGCTCGGTCATACCTGCTGTCTGGATGGCATTGACCAGCGTGCTGAAAACAGCAATAAATGATGTTAGCTCGAATGGCAACTACACAACAACACACTAACACCTCTGCTTCCAGTCATTATGCAACACCAAACTAACAGCTTTATGATAATCTAGGCTAACAGCTGACTCACTTTTTTGGAGCTTCAAACTACAAAAAACCCTTTTTCACTGATCATAGTTTGTGCAGTTGCTGCTCTGTGCCTCTAAGGTGCACTGTAGAGTCATTAAAACTGCCAATAGGTGACAGGGAGTGTTTTTGCTGTACTTTTCCATCAGAGAAACATGATTCAGATGGTACAGATCCTCACATGAAGCGGTCATCGGCCTTCAAGACATCCATGATGTTTCCCATTGGTGGAGTGATTACTTTGTCCACTGTGAACATGGTGGCATAGCGTCCAACCTTGTCATGCGCAGCGATACAGGCGTTCTCGATGCAAAGGTTCTACAAAGAAAAAAAATTGTGTTTAAATACCTAACACTGGGCTTTGGAATCAGAAAAAACGAGTTCTAGTTATTATTATTACTGTTATTATACTGTTTAGATACCACTGCTAGCAAGCCAGAGTGTTTCTGATATATTTGTTGATCTAATATTTGTTGTGGAAACCTGTTAACCTTCACACTGACCATGCTGAGTTTGACCATCTTGATTTTGAAGGTACCCTTCTAGTTATTATTATGTTGCTTAGATTAAAAAACCTGACCAACTAAAGCTTCTTCTCTGTAATGTTTGTTGACTTGCGGAGGAAACCTGACTACAGGCCTGAGGGAATCACAGATGACTAAGAATTTTTTCATGCTACTGTCTCCACATTCTAGAGTCTAGTGTAGGATATTATGTTGGTCTTATCTTTACAATGTAAAGTGTCAAACACAAACCTTAAAACATACTTCACATTAAAATGTAACAATTAATGGTGTAATGTAACTCTGTGGCTAAGTAGACAGGTTTATATCCTCTTTAAATGAGGTAACACACCACACACAGTCCCACAATGGTTAAGTATGGAAAGACTTAACCACTGTGGGATGCAGGAAGCTTGATGTGGTCTGCAGAGTTCATTACCGAGCAGACAACCACCCACAAACCAGACCTGGGACATGTGGAAACGAGCAGAAACACAAACGCCTCACATCCTGTGTCACCAGAGCACAATCAATACTACTGCTAGGACGTATCAATGCGTAAAGCATCAGTGTGAGAGGCAGCTAATCCACTACAAAATCAGTTCATTTTTCGGTCATTCATCGATTATCTGACTTGACTTTTGCAAAGTATGTTTCTGAGAGCCTAAGGAAAAAACTAAAACTGACACATAGAGAGGGGTTAACAAGGGCAGAACAAGGGTCAACGGAGGGGAGAGAAACGGGGACCAAACAAGGGCTAACAGCGTGCAAGGGAGCACACAAGAACCAGCAACGCTAACATGGGGTAAAGGCCAAAGTGACTCAATACAGGGGCGATAGAGGCCAAATAGGTATCAACTTATTAGGTGTAAGCTTGTGAGATTAAAAACGTTTTTAATGTAGACATAGTTATAACTGACCTTTGGTCAGCAGCCAGCTTGTTCCAAAGAACAAGACCACAGTAGCTGAAAGCACCCTCAGCAGGCTGAGATCTGATTCTGGGAACCGTTAAAAGATCTGCATCTGATTACTTGAGAGGTCTTACTGGGTTAGAGAATCAGCAAGTTGAAGATAGGCCAAAACGTGAGCCTTGAGGAACCCCTGGTTGGATTTTTTTTAACTACTAATCACAGTTTAGGTCTCTGACCTGAACCAATGAAATCATAAAGGCTTTGAATTAAATGTCATGATCAACAGTGTTAAAGTCAATAATGAGATCAAGAAGAACTAAGACAATACAAACAAGGACCAACCAAGTAGAGGGTGCACAACATAAAGTAATCACCCCAAATAGTGACATGGTATGACTAATCTGGCTAGCCTACTCAGCAACTGGTGATGCTGACTGTTCAGCTCCAAACAATCATGGGAAAATAAGCATTTATTGTGTTTCATTTATTACTTCAATAAAGTTCTGTCTGCATGTTTCAAGTTAAAGTTAATAAAGAAAAGAGGTTTTCAAGAGAGATGAAAACCAGCATCTCGTTAGGAGATGGAGGCGGTTTAATTCCTCATGGCAGCAGCAGACGGAGGCAGCAGCTCCATCAGAAGTTGATTCTTCAGCAGCAGCTTCCTGTTCTGACCACAAACAATCACATAAAACAAAACCACATAAAAGAGCAACATCTGCTGTGAACAGCCTCTTGATCCAGCAGAGAACTATCCACACTCAATTCAGCCAAACAGCTGAACAGTTGGCTGTTCTGCATTCAGAATATTTAACTTGTTTCAGGTCCAATTAAACACTCTCATGGCTGTATTTTGACACATGATGAAACAGTACTACTCTGCTTCTTTACCCTGTGAATTCCAAGTACTCCTAACCACATCTGTACACTTCTAGAATTTGTGATTTTTGGCTGTTCAGTCGCCCTAACAGAGAGTTATGGTTAGTAACCACAACTGAGTCTGAGACACAAGGAATCTGAAAAGTGTCTCTAACAAACTGTGGAACAAACCACCAAGTAAAGAAATGTCAGTTCTTACTTTTCTGTAGACAAAAGACTCTGAGTTTGAGGCCTCCCAGTGTCTCCAACTCCTGGCCATGGTATAGAGCCTTGGATGACAGCTGCTCCTTCAAGACGTGATTACTCATTAATTTTCTCATGCTGGGAGTCATTGTCATACTTCCTGTTAGACACGTGGAAACAATGGCTGTTCATACCCATTTCTGATTATCCCTACAGGATGGCAGGAAAGGCCTTTTTTGGGGGCCACACGTTACCTTTAAAGGCGTCGTTCAGGGGAGCAAGCATGGTCAGAGCCTCAGACCCGGTCAGGTGGGGGGTTAGACCAGCTTCAACAAACATCCTGGTCGCAGTGGAAACAGATGAACTTTCAGCCAGCTCCAGGAGAGTTTTAGCTGCAAGAGACAAAGAAGTATTAATACTATCTCTGGTACAACTAATAATCCTTTTAGGTAACCCTAACCCTAACCTAAAAATGGTAACTGTAAATTTTCCACCATTGTTCACTTCCAGTGGTACTCAATGTGGACAAATGTGACTTGGTTTATTTTAATATAATTGGTCCCATAGTCACTCGACACCACCATCGGCCCAATCAATTGGTTCAAGGTGTGATTTCATAACACCAAAATTTGATTTGGTTGAATACCACCCAGGTGTAGAGATCCAAGAAGTGGACGGATCTTGTCTCTTAGTCTCAGTGAGGACCCTAAACTTTGAAAGATCTGTAAAAATAATAAACATGAGATTTTTTTTGGATCTCCTGCTAAGACAGAAGCTCTTCCAATGACCTGAAGATGATAATTCAACTCTGAGTCCATGATTATTCCAAGTGCTTATGTTAAAACCACTACTGAAGGACTATTTTGTGCGGATTCCTTGTGCAGCAATATCTTCCCTATATTGGGTGAAGCATTGTGGTATTAGTAGTATTGTTTGTAGTGCAATTACCTGAGTCAGGAATGAGCAGCTCGCCGATGTAGTGGATGACTCCATTGGTGGCTAGCTGGTCCGTCTTGGTGATGATAGCTTTGCCATTCAGGGTCATGTGTTCTCCATCACAGCCGACCTCCAGCATGGTTCCCTGCAACGTTTCCATTGGTGTTCCTGACACAATCGACTCTGCGCAGTGCATGTTCTTCAGGATGTGGTAGTTGAGCAGGTCTGAGGGGGCATACAAAAGTAATTAAAAATATAAACAGAGCCAGATAAAAGGAGTCAGAGTGTCTTGTGCCAGTCACCTTTTAGAGCTATGGGGTCTCCCAGAATTCTGTTGAGGGTCTCCCGAGGAATCTTCTCGAAGGCGTCGTTGGTGGGAGCGAAGACCGTGTAATGACCCTCGTTCTCCAGCATGGTGGTGAGACCTGCAGCAGCAAAGGCCGTCTGAAACACAGACAATGAGATATACAAGAAAACAGAGACAAGAGTTTAAGCTGCTTATTCCATCAGAACTTACAACTACTACAAGTGTCTGGGGACGTGCAAACCTATTGCTGTAGAAAAGCTAAATGTTCAGGATTTCATAGCTCTCTAATTGTTTTCTGTATGTGACAGATATGGACAGCAGTCACCCAGAATCTGTTACTGTGGAGCATGTGGTTAAAAATGTCTTTTTGACATAAGAAACAACTTCTGTGAAAAAGATTTTTCCCCAGTGTCAACATACCCATGGCCACACTCTAAATTGCCAGACAAAAGGTGGTGGCCAGGGTTCTTCTTCTTCTTCTTCTTTCATGTTTGACGGCAGCTTGCATCGGTGGCCAGGGTTTGAAACAACTAAATGCAAAGAGGGATAACTGGACCGCACCACCACTTCCTGCTGAAGGGTGAATGTGTGTTTTCTTTAATTTACAAATAAAGTAGTTGTACTTCGTGGCTCAAGAGTTGGGAGTTCGCCTTGTAATCGGAAGGTTGCCGGTTCGAGCCCCGGCTTGGACAGTCTCGGTCGTTGTGTCCTTTGGCAAGACACTTCACCCGTTGTCTACTGGTGGTGGTCAGAGGGCCCGGTGGCGCCAGTGTCTGTCAGCCTCGCCTCTGTCAGTGCGCCCCAGGGTGGCTGTGGCTACAATGTAGCTTGCCATCACCAGTGTGTGAATGGGTGGATGACTGGTTGTGTAAAGTGCTTTGGGGTCCTTAGGGACTAGTAAAGCGCTATGCAAATACAGGCTATTTACCATTTACTTAATTAAATGTTTGAGTTTAGTTTAGGGTTTAGTAGTTTTGATTTCCTTCTTTGGTGTTTAGTTTATTAACAAACAAGACTGTACTGCATTGTTTGCTGTTTATGATTGTGTTTTGTTTAGTTACCCCTCGTGTCTCAACGGTCTGATCAGCCATTATATATACCCTCGTGTGTAATTTCATGTGGAGGTCATTTATGTTTGTTTGGGCAGTCATTTGGTTTGTTAAGTTTGCAGTCTTTGCCTGAGTTGAGTTTTGTTTCTTTGACCTCTTTTATGAGCTCAACATTTATGACTTTTGTAAATATAATTTTTGGGTTGGGTTCACAAATGAAAACCCTATTTTTGTAATAATTCCTGTGACTCCTCCTGCTTTTTCAACTCGGTCCATCACAATGTCCCATAGAGGTCTGCAACAGCAACTATGGACTAGCAGGTCCAGTTAATGGGGTAGACCTTAGATTCAGAAGGAGAGTTCATGGGACTTTAGAATTTTTACTGATACTTTACCTTGTGATATATTTTAATGATTTACTGTGATGGAATCAAACTCTTTGTCATTTTATGGTGAAAAATGTTCTTCTTAAACTGCTGAGGTATTTGCCCCTGCTATGTTTCACAGCCTGGTGAAACTCTCTGTGATAGTCATTTTATACCCAGTCATGTTACTAATGAACCTAATTAGCTGGCTGATGTTCCACCAGCTGTTACACAACTTTTACAGTTCCTTTAGCTGTTCATGTAACAACTTCATTTAAATATTTTTAGATAAGCAGGTATTTCTAATTTCGTAGGCTGTTTTAATACAATTTTTTCCAAAGGTTTAAAACAACAAAAGGATTTTAAATTCAATGGACTTACACGCAGAGTCTCCAGGTCGTCATCAATGTCAATGATTGATTGCATGTTGTTGGAGATGGCTGTGATGACGCGGTCAACCACGTGCACGATGCCATTGGTGGCATGTTGGTCAGGTTTGACCAGACGAGCGCAGTTCACAGTCACAATCTGTAGATATAAGAAGAAAATGTATTAATGTGTTGTTACTGCAAATATTTGTGTTACGCCTTTAACAGTTATGTGTATGATCATACATTGATGATCATACACGTGATATGATACCTAATGTAAGATAATAATGATGTTCAGAGCAAGACTGTACATACAGCCTCAGTTTTGAGCCTGGAGACAGTCTGGTAAAAAAAAAAAAAGTATCCTAACAAGCACTGGAACTGCTGACCAAAGTCCTCTGTGGAGAAGGGAGAGCAATAGCTTAGCTGATCAATACTCAGAACCCTGACTAAAGTCGGTTGTCTCAGCTAATGATTCTTCCTGCGGTGGTTTCACATTAATTACAAATTTCTCTGGTCTATATTCATGTTATCATGACAGCTAAACTTGATTCCTGTGCCAGAGTTACAGGATAACAATAGTATGTCTTCATTCACCCCATTGCTGTAGTGGTGTATATGGACGGGGGCGTCCTGGTACATGGAGGAGAAGGTGGATCCGTGCTTCAGCTCCTCAGAGGTTAGCCGGCGACTGACCATGTGGTAATGAAGAGCATTTAACAGCTCGATATTCACATTGCTCACCAGAGCGTCAAGGATCTCCTGGAAAACGACAACAAACGACACACAATGAGTTAAGCAGGAGAACCATCGCTGATTGCTCCTCACAAAAGGAGCGCGAGGTTGCAGTAAAAGTGTGTGAGTGTGTACTGACTGTTGGCAGAGATTCCCAGGCCTTGTTACTCGGGGCGAAGAAGGTGAAGCTTCCTGGACCTTCGATCTCCTCCCTGAGTTGGGCTCGATCAGAGTACATCTGAGTGGTGGAGGCGCCAACCATGCCCAGAGTGCTGTAGATGTTCACAAGAGGCAGCGCTGCAATGGTGCACATAAACAAACCCAGCTGATGACTCTCTGCAGTAAAATCCCAACAGATGTTTTAAACATATTTAGTGTAAGGGGTGAGAGGTCATACCTGCAGGACAGCCCTTCTCCCCGGGAATCTTCTCATAACCAGGGCAGCACTCATAGGTGATCACCCTGCAGAGAACACATAAAAACACAGGAGAACATGAGGATTCTTGTAGACCTTCTTGTATTCCCTGACGTCAGAGCAGAGGCTTCATGTCAGACTTCATGTTCCTGTTTCTCTATAAAACTCTCTGCCGCATCAGGAGCTCGTAACTTGTCTGTAGGGTTTCTGCTACAGGATACTCATAAATTCCTGTCTGACAGTAATTATGCTAATAAAGTTACGAGCTGCATGAGCAGACCTGAGAGTCTGCAGGTAGTGCAAGTGGTCTTATGAAATGACAAAAAAAGAGCTCCAGTAACCAATCAGCCCTTACCTGACTCAACAAAACCCACCTGTTTGTCCAGGAAAACAACAGCTTCTACAAAGCTGAAGACCCACCTTTGTTTACTGCATCAGTACTTTGCACACTAACCACTAGTTTATCTAAAGAAAAGACAAAAAACTATCTGTATTATGGCTTTAGCTGAATGGAAGACCTACACATCTTTCAGCCTGAGTAAGTCATCAGATGGAAGGAGTTAATATTGTACAACACAAGCTAAAAGGGGAACTCTGAAACCAAAGATGTCTTCAAAAGCAACTTAGACTTTGAGAGAGCTGGATCTGAATCAGAGGCAGCTCAACTCTTTGCTGGATTATGTCAAAGTGCTGAATGAAGGCAAAGTATAAGATAGTGGAATGGCAATATGATAGGAACATCATCCTTCCATGTGTGCCTGTTTGGTGGCTCTTCAGTGTGCCTATGTACAAATGACACCAATCTACCTATTTAAATAAGCATTTGTATGTAGAAGACAAAAGAGAATGGGCACACCCTCTGGATAATCACTGGAAAAGTCGGACCTATTGAGGCCACAATATTAGCCAGAGAAAAATCACGCTGCTGTACTACAGCCAATATCATCCAGTGGGACAGGTGAGCACTGAATTTTGCTGATGACCCTTTTCTGAGCGCCCAAACATGACTCATTTGGACACAGAGTGGATGAGGTGAGTGACATGCTGCCTGCAAATTATGGAAAAGAGAAGAAAAACAGACAAGGAAAGGCTTTGTGTTTCCCTGAGTGTTTTGGATTCACAGTTTGAAGTGTATTCCACCAGAAAAATTATTCTGCATCCAGAGCATTTAATTGCCCTCTGATTTTTTCCAGTTTCTCACTGACTGAAGAGTTTTTCAGTCATGACATGCAGATCATGTTATGTGTGCTAGATTTACATGTCACACATTAGTGGAAGCAGCACATCTACTATTCCTACTCATTGTAAAGCTGTATGTATGGGACTGTTTTTCGTCGCTGCACCAACACATTCGCAGTCTGTCCACAATCTGTTCTTCATGGTGGGCAGAAGGTTCCTCTATGTCTGAAAAACAATTAAAAATAATTGGAATTCGCATTATAAACATAAACTTGTCTGAGAAAGGAGGAAATTAAGAAATGCTTTGGTGACAAGTTTATGGTGTCAGATTGTAGTTTAAAATCTTTTAAAAAATCCAAAAAACACAGTTTATTTTATAAATTATGGTCTGGATGTAAAAAAAAATAAGGAGAAAGAACAGTATGGCTTATGGCTGGGTTACCCTGTGAGTGACAGGGATTAATAATGGATTCTGACTCTGATTACCTAGTGTACCTAGTGGTCACTCTGGGAAGTGCACCCACTGAGCAGGATTTACAAGCAGTAACTGTGGGACCAGGAGGACCTGTGGAGGTCTGTCTGCTGGAAAAATCTCAGAACGTTACTTCAGCTACAGGCACATGTGGGCTGCAATGAAGCGTACAGCCTGAATGGAGCTTTCAGGACTTCCTGTTGAGATTTCCATAATAAATGTAGCTCCGCCGTCTGGGCTCATAAAGCTCATTTCCTCAGAGAGGAGAAGAATCTGCAACCAGACTAGACGTCTGAGAGGAAACCTGCACCCACTGCCAGGAAAAACACTAAAACCAGGGCAGGAGCCCCCATCCAGCTCCTCACTTCCTGTCCACTACAAAATAAAAGGTCATTATGAAGAGAAAAGTGGCAACTCGACTGCAGTTTGAATAGTTCTGGACATGAACATTACTAGTTTCAGTTTAACCGGCAGCTTGAGGGTGATTAAGACTTAACCAAAGCAGATTTGAACTATTATGTCACTGCAAAGGTAGTGAAGAAGACTGCATACCCATAATAGTCAGTGTCTTTTAAACTGAGAGCAAATGAACATAATTCAGCGGGGGAAAAAAATCAACCGTTGGCTCAACAACCTTCACTAAAAAAGCTTCTCAGCTCTGACAAATACTTTGATTACATGTATGACAGAGTAATTCTTCATTTATTTGAATGTCGTCTTCAAAGACTGTTTTATAAAAGACAGAATCAAAACTGGAGAAAACTTCTTGGTCAGTCTGTTTATCGAGCAGTTTGCTGGGGTTGAATTCCAGAGGGACATAACAATGACACACAGTGACAGTGACAATACTATCATTATGAAAGCTCTAGCTACATGTATTAGAAATACGTTGGAAATAACAGTGGGCCAAAGATTAAGTCTTGAGTCTTGAACACCGTAGTTAGAATGTAGAAGGTGGAGAGCAGATTAGCTGAGGTGAAGCCTAGCAGACAGCCAGCAGCTACAACCACCTGTGTCGCTTTAATATTTAATATTTATCCTGCATGTATAAGCCAACCTCTTTGTGTCAGCCTGCCTCTATGTTGCATGACATGGGAACTTTTTAATTTGCAGCTGGAGATAAATTGTTGATTGATCAGTCTGCCAGCAGTTGAATTCTTCTATAAAAATCAATTTCCTAAACTTCCTCCTGTGTCAGCTCCTCCACTATGTCCTCTCTCTGAGACGTTCTGAGTCTATAAACATCAGATGTGTATTTTCTTCAGCTTTACGAGTCAACAATTGTTGGAAGGTTGACTGGCAAATTTATTAAATATATAAATTTTCCTGATGGGAAGAGTCCCCTGATGGAGGAATCTCATTATGAATTTCTGAGTTTCTTGTGTTTGTTTTAACAGAGCGATTAGTGGACGAATCTTTCAGTGAAGCCAGGACCACCAACCAGTCACTGCTCCATATTAACACTTAAACCGTCTGCGGACAGAGGTCTTATTTCTGCTCTCAGGTCCTCTATAATAAAGTTTAACGTCGACAAAGAGAAAAAGGAAGCTCCCAAAGCTCCCGCAGCCTTCATCACATAAGTGCAAACATGTGAAGAGCAGCTACTGATGGTGTGTGTGTTAATGTGCGCAAACACACACTGGACTGATTATCAAAGCAGATGGAAACTCAGGTCCCTTTTGTTCTCCACATAAGTAAAGATGGCTGCTGTGGATTTATGACAAAACAAACAGAGCAAGGTTGCAGTAATTCTGCCGCCGGGCTCGAGCTGCTCGATGAAAACCTTAAAAAAGAAATGCTTTCACATCAGTCAGCAGCACGTCATCCTTCAGATTGTCAGAGGAAGCTTCAAACATGAAACTGCCAGCCATGAAAAGCCTGAGAAAAGTTTCATCAGGGATTAAAAGTCATTTCCAGAATGTAAAAACAAGGTGGACACGTACAAATTTTGTCTTTGAGAAACTTTTATTAACTAAAGCTGATGAATTAAAGTTAGACACCACAGTGAGGCAATTAAGGGACGAGTTACACAAGCTTGGTTATTGTGAGGGTGCGGTACATAAACGTGTGCTAGTTAATTCTAAATGAAATGCCCTTTATTTAACAAAAATGCCTGTTAATGATCTAGATTTTTTTTCTACAAAATTAATACTTTTACACAATATTTAAGAGCCAGAAATCTAATCTTCTGACCGAATTCTGTGTCATATACACCGCACAGGTGCAAGATCACTGATTTTATTAACATCTCAATAAAAACTCTGAATAAGTCAGTCATAACAAGCTAACAGCTAACAGTTTAAATCCAGACTCTACAAACCACATCACACATTCCCAATAATCAAAGTCTAAACATAACACAGCTCAAATCATAGTCAAGTGTTCCAAACTTCATGTGTACATCAGTGTGTACCGCTATATTCCTTATTATGTGGGCAAAAAGGACAGAAAGTTCAGTTTTATTTTGCATTTTACAAATAAAGGATTTGAAAATTATACTAAATTGCTTCTAAAAAATCTTGTAGCTCTAAAAACTACCAAAGCTCTCAGAGGTTTCAAAGCTAGAAGTGAGCTTGAACCTTTGAAGCTCTGAAAGCTAGTGGAGCCCTTGAAGGTGTCTGAGCTGTCAGAGTGATCAACGCTCTCAGAGCTCTTAAAGTTCTTGGACCTCTAACAGCTACCAGAGGTCTCAAGTCTTTGAAGTTCTCAAAACTTGTGGAGCTCTGGAAGCTACCAAAGGCTACAAGGATCTGGAAAGTCCTCAAAGCTCTCAGATTTCATAATAATTATCAAGACTAGGTTGGGTAGCAAAAGATCAGCGAATAACTTTGGACACCAGACCTCTGTGCACTATTATAAAAAGTTCTGACACATAAGAAATCACAGCAAGAAGATCAAAGGGACAAAAGTAATGTAACAGTGATAAAGATATGTAGACCAGAGTGAAATCCCCCCATCAGATCTCACCCAGCTGCTGAGCTTTAAACATCTCCAGGCTACATCTCTGACCTTTGAGCCATGTTTTAGCAGTTGTAGGCTGACACAAAGTCTCTTCTCGCAGTTTGACTCCAAACCTTTAACGCATTTTGCTTTTGTTGTTTTAGCTCCTAAACTGTGGAATGAATGAACTCTCACAATCTGCACAGCTGCCTCCTTCAGTTGAAAACCTGTTGACTTGGATAGTTTTACCTCCTTTAACTGCATATTTTGATCTTTTGTTCTTTATAACATAAATAAGATGGTTACTTCAGTGCTGTTATTGTAAGTATTATTATTATTATTAGCAGTATTACTTAGGGTTAAAGAAACAGATGTGGCATTAGTGTCTGACAGACAGAGGGTACTTTGAGGACCCGGGGTTCAGAGGGGGGTTGTAGTGAATTACGATGGGAGTTA